AGGCACAGCAAGAGAGAGGGAGAGAGGTCTTCCATCCCCTGATTCACTCCCCAAATGACTATGATGTCCAAGGCCGGGCCAAGGCAAAGCCCAGCGCTTCATCTGTATCTCCCACACAGGTGCAGGGGCCCAGGGACCTTCCACTGCTTTTTCCAGGTGCTGGATTGGAAGTGGAGCAGCTGGGACTTGAACCAGTGCCCATACGGGATGACAGCATCATAGGCAGTAACTTAACCTGTCACACCACATGGCCAGCCCCACTGACTCAAATTTAATTTGGAGGACATAGTTTACTAGCTTTATTTACTTTTTTTTTTAAGACAATTTTTAAGGTTTTTTTATTATTATTATTTGAGAGGTAGAGTTACAGACAGTGAGAGGGAGAGAGAGAGAGAAAGGTCTTCTGTCCGCTGGTTCACTCCCCAGATGGCTGCAATGGTCAGGGAGACCTCTTCCAGGTCTCCATGTGGTGCAGGGCCATGGACTTGGGTCATCTTCCAACGCTTTCCCGGCCATAGCACAGAGCGAGATTGGAAGTGGAGCAGCCAGGACTCGAATCAGAGCCCACATGGGATGCTGGCACTGAAGGTGGGGCTTTACCTGCTATGCCACAGTACTGGCCCCTATTAACTTTATTTTTTTATTTAATTTGACAGAGTTATAGACAGTGAGAGAGACAAAGGTCTTCCTTCCATTGGTTCACTCCCCAAATGGCCGCTACGGCTGGTGCTGCGCAGATCCGAAGCCAGGAGCCAGGTGCTTCTTCCTGGTCTCCCATGCGGGTGCAGGGGCCCAAGCACTTGGGCCACCCTCCACTGCCCTCCCAGGCCACAGCAGTGAGCTGGACTGGAAGAGGAGCAACCGGGACCAGAACCTGGCACCCATATGGGATGCTGGCGCCGCAGGTGGAGGATTAACCAAGTGAGCCATGGCGCTGGCCCCCCTATTAACTTTATTTTAAAAGATTTATGGAGCTGATTCTAGTCCTGGATACTCCTCTTCCCATCCAGCTCTCTGCTATGGCCTGGGAAAGCAGCAGAAGATAGCCCAAGTTCTTGGGACTCTACCAGTGTGGGAGACCCAGAAGAAGCTCCTGGCTCCTGGCTTCGGATTGGCGCAGCTCTGGCCATTGCAGTCATCTGGGAGTGAACCATCGGACGGAAGACCTCTCTCTCTGCCTCGCCTCTCTCTGCTTAACTCTGACTTTCAAATAAATCAATTAATTAAAAAAAAAAAGATTTATTGGGGCCGACGCTGTGGCGCAGCGGGTTAAAGCCCTGGCCTGCAGCTCCACTTGTGATCCAGCTCCCTGTTAATATGACTGGGAAAGCAGAGGAGGATGGATCGAGAGCTTGGGCACCTGCACCCACGTGGGAGACCCAGAGGAAGCTCCTGGCTCCTGGCTTTGGATTGCCCAGCTCCAATCACTGCGGCCACCTCGGGAGTGAACCAGTAGATGGAAGACCTTTCTCTCTCTGTAACTCTTTCAAATAAAATAAGTCTTAAAAAATAAAAATGCATTCATTTGAAAGGAGGATATATAGAGAGGTCTTCCATCTGCTGGTTCACTTCCCAAATGGTCACAACAGCCAGGCCTGGGCCAGGCTGAAGTCAGGAGCCAGGAGCTCCGTCTGTGTTTCCCACGTGGAGGCGGGGCCCAAGGACTGGAGCCGTCATTCACTGCTTTCTCAGGCAGGAAGCTGGACTGGAAATGGAGCATAGCTGGGATTTGGACAGTGCTCCAGTATGCCAGCCCAACTTTAAAAATGCTTGTAAGGAAGCGGTGGGCAGAGAGCCTGCTCGCTCACTGGTTTCAGGCTTACACTCCCACTCCCTGCAAGCCGCAGAGTGGCCAGTGCTTCAGCCCCCGCTCCCCACAGGCTGGGGCTGGGGTCCTGGCAGCGTGGCGTCTGGTCACAGCGCAGCCCAAGGGCCTGCCGCACATCCCACAACCACACCGAAACGCAGCAATCCAACTGAAGAACACTCAACTCAACGGAGCGAGAGGACACTCAAGGACCGGAGACTGAGTACTGTGAAGACCCCGGTACATCTGGCATGTCCAGCAGATACACTTCCAGAAACTACTAAGCATTCCAAAGTCCACACGGAAACACAAGGGAGGAAACGCTCTGAATCCATCTAAAGAACAAGTCTCTGCGGGTGTCGCTGTGAGGAACAGCTTCTGCGAGTGTTGCTGTGTTGCCATGGGAACAGTTGAGTGTTGCAAGGTGGTATCGTTTCTGTGTTGTCGTGAGGACAGCGTGTGTTGCTGTGAGGGCAGTTTCTGGAGTGTTGCCATGGGGACACAGTTTCTGTGGGCATCGTGAGGAACAGTTCCCGTGAATGTTGCTATGAGGTAGTTTCTGTGAGTGTTGCCAGGAGGAACATTTCTCTGGGTGTAGCTGTGAGGTACAGTTTCTGTGTTGAGAGGCACAATTTCTGTGACTGTTCTCATGAGTACAGTTTCTGTGAGTGCTTTGGTGAGTTTGCCGTGAGGGTACAGTTTCTGTGAGTGTTGCCGTGAGGGCACAGTTTCTGGGAGTGTTGCCGTGAGGGCACAGTTTCTGGGAGTGCTGCTGTGAGGGTACAGTTTCTGTGAGTGTTGCTGTAAGGACAGTTTTTGGGAGTGTTGCCGTGACAGCACAGTTTCTGGGAGTGTTGCCGTGACAGCAGTTTCTGGGAGTGTTGCTGTGAGGACACAGTTTCTGTGAGTGTTGCCATGAGGGTACATTTTCTGTGAGTGTTGCTGTGAGGGCACAGTTTCTGGGAGTGTTGCCATGAGGGCACAGTTTCTGGGAGTGTTGCCATGAGGGTACATTTTCTGTGAGTGTTGCCATGAGGGTACAGTTTCTGTGAGTGTTGCCGTGAGGGTATATTTTCTGGGAGTGTTGCTGTGAGGGCACAGTTTCTGTGAGTGTTGCCATGAGGGTACAGTTTCTGTGAGTGTTGCCGTGTGGGCACAGTTTCTGGGAGTGTTGCTGTGAGGGCACAGTTTCTGTGAGTGTTGCCATGAGGGTACAGTTTCTGGGAGTGTTGCCGTGAGGGCACAGTTTCTGGGAGTGTTGCTGTGAGGGCACAGTTTCTGTGAGTGTTGCCATGAGGGTACAGTTTCTGTGAGTGTTGCCGTGTGGGCACAGTTTCTGGGAGTGTTGCTGTGAGGGCACAGTTTCTGGGAGTGTTGCCATGAGGGCACAGTTTGCAGAATCCAAGGGGTCACCCAGTGGGATGGCACTTAGGTGAGACACAGTGCCAGTAGTGCCTGGGAAGAGGTAAGATGAGCACATGGTGGGTTTGTGCTCTGCTGTGAGGACAGGTGGGTGGAACGGCCAGTTTTAAAAATCAGCCAGTGGTGTTCTGAGGCATTGGGCATCTACTCAAAGGTATGTCACACTTGCTGAAGAGTAAAAAGCCAAAAACTCCTTGAGAGGCAATCCAAACTGTAAAGGATTGCAAGCAAAATAAAGTAACAAATCATGGGTCTGCTGTTGTGGCAGAGAGTAAAGTAGCCACCTGCAATGCCAGTGCCCCGTATCGGCGCCAGTTCATGTCCTGGCTGCTCCATTTCCAATCCAGCTCCCTGCTAATGGCCTGGGAAAACCAGTGGAAGATGGATTAATTGTTTGGGCCCCTGCCACCCACACAGGAGACCAGGAAGAAGCTCCTGGCTCCCGGCTCCTGGCTTCAGCTTGGCCCAGCCCTGGCTGATATGGCCACCTGGGGAAGCCTGATGGGGAGGCCTGGCTGATATGGCCATCTGAATTGGCGTTTGGAAGATTTTCTCTCTCCCTCCCTCTTCCCCCTCCCTCTCTGCCTCTTCAAAATAAATAAATAAATCTTAAAAAAAAAAAAAAACCTTCCATACTTGCTACACATGGCAGCTTTCTAAGTAGCAGCAAGTAAATCTACACTCTTAATTTGGTCTACGTGGGCCATCGGGCACCTCTCTGGTCCTACCTTCTCCCACCACCCTCCCTTCGCCTCCACGTTCAACAAGCTTCTTGCTGGTCTTCAACCACAGAGACATGTTTACCCTAATGGCTCCATGCTGGAACACCTGGGTTTGAGTCCCACTCGGGCTCCTGACTCCACGTTTCTGCTAACACAGTCCATGGGAGGCAGCATCAGTGACAGCTCAAGTAGTTGGGTCCCTGTCACCACATGGGAGACTCAGATTGAGTTCCGGGTCTGGGTTCCTGGCTCCAGCCTGGCCCAGTTTCTGCCACCACAAGCATTTGGGGAGTGAACCAGCAGATGGGAGCTGTCTCACACTATCTCTTTCTCTCAGTAAGATTTATTTTATTTATTTCAGAGACAGAGTTACAGAGAGAGGCAGAGACAGACAGAGAGGTCTTCAATCTGCTGGGTCACTCTCCAAACGGCTGCAATGGCCAGAGCTGGGCTGATCCAAAGCCAGGAGCTGCTTCTGGGTCTCCCACGTGAGTGCAGGAGCCGAGACTTGGCCCATCCTCTTTTGCTTTCCCAGGTGCATCAGCAGGGAGCTGGATTGGAAAGAAGCCACCTTTAACTTGTTGCGCCACAGCACTGGCCCCTAATTGTTTTTTTAAAACATAGGGTTAACAGTCACTTGGGGGAAGACAGGTGGTATGGTGGGGTGCTATAAATATAAACAAGTTCTCAAGACCTGCACAAGACTCTCACTGCATTCTGTGTCATCCAGAACAACGCTGACAAAATCCCAATGTCTGACCTAAAGTTTCTACATCTCTCTGTCTCTACAGTGAAACAGCTGTGTGACCGTTTCAACAGCAGTCACATGTGCTGCTGACAGGAGTCCCACGTGACGGAAGCCAGCCAGACAGGGTGCTCAGGGCAGTGAGTGTGGGCTTCCGGGGGGAGGAAGAGATGGCAGGGGCAAATCTGCCATAGTGTGCGGCGGATTCTGAGCCGTCTGGCCAGCACTCCTCTAGAAACCAGACACGTCCACACGGTGAACATGCCCATGGCTGGCCTCCAGGCAGGCACTACAGGGCACATACCTGCCCGGGAGCAGCAGCAGAGCACCATGGCCGGGCTCCTCCATGGTGTCCAGGCACTCGGAGGGTGCGGCCGAGCCGCCGGCGCTGTCTGTGTCCCCTGCAGGCTGCAGCTCGGGGTGTACCAGGGTGCCAGTGTCCTCATCGGTGAAGGTCTCGCACTCACTGTAGGTGCTCTCAGAGCCCATGTAGGCACTGTCTGTCACCTCGTTGGCCTAGGAGAGAGCACGCCAGCAGTCATTTAGTGCACTGGGGAGAACAAGCACATGCGCACCGCACTGTGCTGCAGTCACAAAAAGGACGTGGGAAAGTCCCAAATGCTGTCACATGAACAAGCGAAATATCAGCTTACAAAACAATTCCAGATGAAAACAGGCACGTGTCCAAGGGCAGAAAAACAGTAATCAGAGTGATTTTTACAGTGAGTTGAATACAAACCTCAAAGAGATCCCAGTGTCCTGCTGTCACCTGATACAACCACCCAATGGTGGCTTCCTACACTGGAAGCGTTTACATTCAAGAAATTAACATTCAATAGTACAAGAATACACCTTTTTAAACTAAAAATGTCATCGTTAATAGCTGTTTCTATGCTGAGGCTACTGCTTTTAAATTCAGATTCAAGGCTAACCTTAAAAATACCCATCAACTATTTCATCACCTGTTCCGTTTACTGCTTAGACGGCTTCTTGCTGACTCGCAGAAGAGCAATGTGCACTGTAGTTAAGGATTTGCAAACAGACAAGATTCAGAAAAGGGGCGGCTGCCGCAGAGAAGCTGGACTTCGTACTGTGGTGCTGGTGTCCCAAGAAGCAGACGGAGTGCGAGCCGCGGGGGCTGTATCTACCCAGGCCTCCTCGTCTCATGTGCAGAGACGTGAAGGGCCCTGGCATGGTGGAAGAGAGGTCCCCATTCCACCTTGCAGCTACCAGCGTCGCCTCCTCTGTGAAGTGGGGGCTGTAGGCACTGACCTCCAGGGCAGCAGCCCCATGGCATCAAGGGACGGCACCGGGGCGCACCCCACCAGTGAGCAGGAGACCCCAGCCAGCTGCCCGCACAGCAACAGCAACACAGGGAATGACCCGGTGTTCACTCACGTTTCCAAAGGGAAACCCAGTCCTCCCTGGAATCAATGAAGTAATGACCAGAACACATTCACTTCAAAGCCCAAAACCAGAAAGTGGCTTCAAGAGGCACCTGCTCCAGTCGGCTCAGCCTCACTGAGCACTTCCCGCCGTCATCCACTAATGCAGCCCTGGGACTCAGCCCAGCGTGGGGCTGGCTCTGTGCTGGGCCTGGGAAAGCCAGACAAGGGCCGCTGTGCCCAGAAAAGCAGGCAGGTCCCAGGACGCCTGTCAGAGCCTGGACCCGGGGAAGACACGCCACAGCAGGACACAACCCTGAGCAAACACACGAGAGTGAGGAGCAGTCACTAACGCCCCTGGTGGAACTGCCCACTCACCGGGCAAAACTGACCACAGGCTTGTACACGCATGACCACCAACACCAAAGACCAGAGCCAACTATCCAGTGTCCAAATTCCTGAAGGAACGCTGCTCCCGGTCTGCAAGGACAGCTCCACGGACTCCACGCCCAACACCACCAGCCGCTCGGTCCTCACCCAGTCTGCCCCAGACAACTGGCACCGCGTGTGCTCAGAGCCAACCCCGTGCCACAGGACACGCAGCCACGTCTACTCCCCAGCACACGGCTCCTGCCTGGAGCCTCCCTCCTCCACGGGAAACCGAACGCTGGGCGCGGGGCCCGCCCCATCTCCTCTCACGCTCAGATGCCAGCCCGTGTACCTCCATGTGCCTCCCCATATTTCCACCTGGGCCAAGTCACCGGCTGCTCTCCACGGACAGCAACGTGCCGCGCTGGGGTTTCTGCAAACCCGGGGTGCTCGCCTGCAGGCACATCACCGTCCGCAAGGCCGTTCAGCCTGCTCCCAGACACGCTCTGTTAAACCTGCGGCTGCGGCCAGCAGTGCAGGGAGGCAAAGTTCAGGACGCGTCCTTGCGGCAGGGCTCAGGACAGAGCTGCTTTGTCCACACGTGTCCAGCCCTGCTGATAACAGCCTGCGCAGAGGACGCGCTGCCCTGCCCTCTCACCAAGGCTCCTCTCCTCCAGAAGCCCAGGCGGGGGGGAAGAGCAGCAGAGAAGCCACAGCAGGCTGCCCCTGAGGTCCCTCCTATCGCCCTGCCGGCTTGTGCCCGTTCCTGCCTCCCTGAAAACGGCCCCGCCCCCACCTGCTCAGATTACAGGACCAGGCGCTTTAGTCTCACAACACCCCAACCCACACCAGCGCTTCCCTTCTTCCTCTGGGAGGTAACAGTGGTCTCCAATCACAAAGGTCCTGGGGACCAGCTCCTCCCGGGGAGGGCACGGCCCCCAGCCTCAGGGCGTGCAGCACAGTGGTGCTCCTGCGCAGGAAACAGTCTCAGTCAGTACCAGGCGTACTTCCCTCTGAAGATCACAGGGCAGGGTCTCTGAACAGGTTCATCAGAACGTCTAAAGGTAACACTCACGTTTTTATTAGACATTTAAGATTAAATGATGCAAGCTTTAAAAAGAAAAGAAAACAACACTTTGGGAGCCATGTCTTGAAGCAGGGGTTAAGCCACTGCCTGTGATGCTGGCATCTCATATGGGCACAGGTTCGAGTCCCAGCTGCTCCACTTCCAATCCAGCTTCCTGCTAACGGCCCGGGAAAACAGTGAAGATGGCCCAAGTGTTTGGGCCCCTGCACCCACGTGGCAGACGAGGACAGTTTCAGGCTCCAGGTTTTGGCCTAGCCTAACCCTGGCCATTGTGGTTACTTGGGGGAGTGAACAAGCAGATGGAAGTTCGCACACTCTCTCTTTCCTTTTCTCTTGGAAACTCTCAAATAAACAAATCTTAAAAGAAGAGAACAGTTGCTGCCACCCGCAGCACCAGCATCCCACATGGGCACTGGTTTGAGTCCTGGCTGCTTCTCTTCCAATCCAGCTATCTGCCACAGCGCTCTGAAAGCAGTGGAGGATGGCCCAAGTGCTTGGCCCCCTGCACCCACGAGGGGGACCCAGAAGAAGCTCCTGCCTCCTGGTTTCAGCCTGGCCCAGTCCTGGTCATTGCGGCCATTTGAGGAGTGAATCAGCGGGTGGAAGACCTCTCTCTCTGTCTCTCACTCTGCCTTTTAAATAAATAAAATAAATCCTTAAAAACAAAACACACTTTCTATAATTGCACAGTAGTATCTAGTTCCACTTATGAAAATTACACCTAAATCGTAAAGAGCAAAACATGGAGGAACCTGAACGCCTGGCACTCAGTGGGAGAAACTGGTCTGACTCCAGCCCTGGGCACTCAGGAGACCCAAAAGACCAGGGCTGCCAGGACTGGGTGGGGGACAGGGCTGCACCGGCGGCCTCAACCTGCTCTAACTGGGGGACAGGGCTGCACCGGCGGCCTCAACCTGCTCTAACTGGGATGCTGCGTGCTGCCACAATCAGAGAACGGGCGTGAAGAGGGAGCCCAGCGCAGACTCCCGCCTGCAGCTGACAGCGCACCAGCACAGTCTCGGGTTCCAGCAAGGAAAGGTGTTCACAGGAGCAGAACAGGTGCCGCTCCTTGCCATTTGCTTGCTTTCCTGTAGACATAAACTGCTCCAAAATACAGTGTTCAAAATTTTTAAAAAGTAACAAATCTCAAAGAAATCAGAACCTACAGACTGAGAGGCACTGCTTTCCCACACTCCCTGCTAGGAGGCCTGGGGCGGGCCGGTGTCTCACAGTGGGTGGTGCGGGTCAGTCTGTACGGCAGACAGGAGTGGCCCCAGCTTCAGGAGGCAGTCCTGAGTCCTCCCCTTCATGTTTCCTACATGGACAACGAATTAACACAGACTGCGGCCTTGAAACCACAGAAGTTTGTTCCCCCACGACGCCAGAAGCCGGCTGAACACACCAGGTACATCAGGTGTGGTTCCTTCCAAAGGCTCCTGAGGGGACCCCTCCTCACCCTGTCAGCCTCTGGGGGCTCCAGTTCACTCGCTGTGCATGACCCCTCCAGGCTCTGTCCCGCCTCCACATCGCCTCCTTCCTGTGATGCTTGTCACTGGATTCAGGGCCCAACCCCAGCCCAGCAAGGTCCTGATTTGAGGTCCTTTGCAAATAAGGCCACACTCACAGGGTCTGGGTGGGCTGCCATCCAGCCTGCTGCGCCCACCGTTCATAGAATATACAAGTCAGCAGGATGCCCAGCACACAGAGGAAGAGACATTTATCAACAAGTGCCTAAGCAGAGACAGTCTCAAAAGGGGACACGGCTTCCCAGACACTCCGAACCACAGCAAGGATGCTCTTCCCTCGTATTCCTGGGAAACTCAAGGGCTGTTAAAACTGCAGGGCCTTCACCGCCTCGTTGCAAGGGGGCTGGGTCCTCCTCTCCACGCCATGCAGTCGGGCACACAGAGCCCTGCACACCAGAGCCATGTCAAGTCCCCGCCCTCTGCCCACCACACTGAACTCCCAGGCAGCACCACAGTCCAGTCCTGTCTCACCTCTGTGGCCCCACCACGCCAGGGCCCCACGCAGAGTGAGCACACCAAGTGCAGCCAACACGGAACTAGGGCAGGTGCTGTGGCCCAGCTGGTCCACTGGGCCAGGACTTTGAGCAGCGACCACCTGCTCCCAAGCAGCTAGTGGGGAGGGACGGTCTGTGCTGGCCCACTGCATGGGGGACTAACACCTGGGGCAGCTGCTCAGAGCAGGGCACCAGGGAAGAGAGAGGAACCCCACGATTGCCCCATGCGCCTGGAGACGACTCTGTGTGACCACCTCCTTTACCAAAGAGCCAGGGGCAGAGGACCACGGTGAGCAGCAGCCTCTGGCCAGTCCCGCTTCTTGGGCTTCACTGAGCAGCTGAGGTCTGACCAAGGCTGGCAGCTGCCACCCTGCCTTCGCAGCGGCCCTCAAGGCCTCAGGCAATCTGATGCTGCTTGGAAAGAAAACCTCCCGTGTGCAGCCACCCTGCTCCCCAGCTTGACCCCTCCCCAGACAGGGCACAGTCACCACAGTCTATCCTCCAGGACTGTGACCTCCCCAGCTACGGTGAGAAAGAGCAAGGGACCGCAAGGAGGGGACGCCACTTCACAGCAAACCTGGACGCGGATCCTGCCAGGCCCCGGCCCGGGAGTGAGCTGCATTTGAGCAGACACTCAGCAACCTTCTGCAACAGCTAGGGTCGCCTCTCAGCCCTGAGCCCACCAGCCGCAGCGACCCTACACGGGGTGGAGAGGAGCCCTCTTCCCTTCCTCCAAGCTCAGATGAAAGCACTTGCCTCATAGGTGACGAAGTCATCGAACTCGACGGGGCAGGCAGAGGGCTCTCCGTCCTGGGCAGGGGGGACTCCGCACAGCTGTCCATCGCGATCTGCAGGGAGAAGACCTGGGCTCAGCAGGCCACCACAGCCACCACCGTGAGGTCAAGGGCAAAGCCACGAGACTGCAGTGTGCGGGGTCTTTCTGAAGGGCGCATCGTGGGGCTGACGTGGGGGCTGGGGCCCTGAGGGTCACGGGAACGAGTCCACTCACACTGTGAGAAATCCAGGGGAGGGGCTGGCGCGGTGGCACAGTGCCAGCGTCCCACATGGCCGCCGGTTAGCGTCCCAGCTGCTCCACTTCCAATCCAGCTCGCTACTAAAGTCCTGGGAAAGCAGCAGCAAACGGTCCTGTCCTTGGGCCTCTGCACCCACGTGGGAGGTCCAGATGAAGCTCCTGGCTCCTGGCTGTGGACCGGCCCAGCTCAGCCATTGCAGCCATTTTGAGGAGTAGGCCAGCGGATGAAAAGCTCTCTCCCTGTACCTCGTTCTCTAACTCTCTCAAATACATTTTAAAAAATAAAAAAAAAAAGAAAGAAAGAAAGGAAAGGAAAAAAGAAAAACAAAAAGAAATCCCGGGGAAAGAAAGCTGCGTCGCCCGTGACAACAGTGCTTTGCTCCAGAATCCTGAGTGGGTGGTGCAGAGATAGAATGATACTTTTTATTTCTTAAAAGATCCAAAGAGCCTTGTAAAAGAAAAGAGCCTGAGACACAGCTCTCTAAGGCTGCTAGGAGCAACCCAGATTTAGTTGTTTTTTCCCAACCACTCACGTTTGGAGAGGTGCAGATACAATGAAGTTTGTCCTGGGTGCTGCCTAGCCAGCTCGCCCACAGCACTGGCTCCAGGGCTCTGCTGCGCCCATGGCTACAGAGCACATTGCAGGAGCACAGTGCAAGGACGATGCTGGCCTTCCCGGCTCCAGTGCTTACAGACGACGCACACACTGAACTTCTCACGGTCTAATCAAACACATGGAGCAGCATCCTCTGAGGCCACAGGGATAGCGGTGCCTGCGTGCTCCTGGGAAAAGCGCCCTGAAGCAGGCAGCACTGGGATCCTCCAGCAGGCCACACTCGCGCCGTGAACCAGGACAGCACGTGGGACGGGCGCCCTGTCACCACATCCCCAGCCAGAGCAAACCGTACAGCAGGAAGCACAGCCCTCCCGGAGGAGCCTCACCACGGGCAGAGGCAGGCACACGCCACTCCCTCTGTGCCAAAGCTTCCTCTCCAGGCAGGTGCAGCTTCCCGCGACACGTGCACAAAGGGCACTGGTCATGCAGTAATAGAGGACTGTGTCCATTCAGGATGGCCTGCGGGCAGGACCCTACCCCAAAGTCCTCCCGGGTACTTCTGCTGCTGCTGTTGGACCTCTGAGCCAACGAGGGAGTGTCTGAGTGTGGCCAGGGTGGCACCCAACAAGCAGGCTGGAGTCCCTGCCTCAGTCCCTGTGGGTCTAGTGCAGGGGGAACGCAGGAGAACTACATGCCTTTTTGGTATGGGAGGGAGGGCCCTGGACAGAACTTTGAGTTCTGGAGCAAGGGAGTTAGGAGAACTAGAGAGTCCAGTGCAGTCAGAGACTGACACACTTTGGTTTTTGCTTTTTAAAGGCTTTCATTTATTTGTTTGGAAAGTCAGAGTTACAGACAGAGAGTGAGCAGTGGTATCTTGTATCTGCTGGTTCACTACCCAGATGGTCATAATGGCTGGGGCTGGGCCAGGCCAAAGCCAGGAGAGTCATCTAGGTGTCCCACATGGGTGGCAGGGACCCAAACACTTGGGCCGTCTTCCACTGCTTTTCCCAGGAAATTAGTAGGGAGCCGGATCAGAAGCGGAGCAGCTGGGGCCCGGATCAGCGCTGGTATGGAATGCCGGGGTCACGGGTGGTGGCTTCACCTGCCACACCACACACCACCACACTGGGCCCACAGCACACTAAATGAAAGGCTTGCCTGTCTGTCACTGGCTGACTTTCCCGTCAGATGTCAATAGTGTTGTTGATATTAAAAACTCAAAAATTTCACAGCCATGCATTTCAGACACAGTGGACAAATGCTCACATTCTGGGGGAGGGTGGGACACTGGTGCCTTGGTTACGACACGGCTAGGGATGCCTACAAGCCTACAACCCCGTCAGAGTGCCTGCGTTTGTGTCCTGGCTCTGCTCCTGACTGTAGGATCCTGCGAATGTGCACACTTGGAGGAGGCAGGCGACGGCTCAAGTTCATGGGATCTACCACACATGGGGAAATCTGGGTTAAGTTCCTGGCTCCTGGCTTCAACCAGTGGTTGTGGGCATTTGGGGAGGGAACCAGAGGGTGGGAGCTGTCTGTCTTCCCTCACCTCTCAAAACAAAACAAACCAAAACAAACAAACAAACAAAACCTGTGAAAGGAAAGAAGAAAGACTCTGGTGGTGGTGGTGGGCAGTCTTGCCCTGCATCAGGAGATGTGAACGTGGCTTGCATTTTTATCTTCTTGATGGGAACTAAATGTATTTTCTCTGTTAAGAATTAAGACAATTTCCAATTAACTGGAAACTTTTCAACTTTCCATGTGCACTTGATCTCCTCTGCTCAGCGCCAGAGGTGCTGCATGAGCTGGGGTTAGGCCTGTTTGCAGCAGCTCCCTCCCTACCTCACTGCACGCCTGAAACGACCTGCAGCTGCATCAGGAAAAAGCTCTGCAGGCTGCCCTGCAAGCCGGCTCAGCACGGACGCAGGGGCCTGACGCAGAGCCAGGTGTCCGTAGCCACAGCAGCACAGGTGCAACCTGAGGAGACAGGGGGCAGTGGTGGACGTCTGCCCTGAGCCCCCATCAGAGCACCTTGGCTAGACGCCTCTCTCCAGCTCCTGGTTCAAGCTTCCTGCTGGCGCAGACCCCTGGAGGCAGCTCCAATGCCTGAAGTGATTAGATTACAGACACCCGTGGGGGAGACTTGGATTCAGGCCCCAGCTCCTGGGGGCCCTTGGGGAGTGAGCCAGCAAACAGGAGTTTGCACTCTATCTCTCGTCCCTCTCAAGTCAAACATACACATTTGTGTATGTCTATACACAGTCCTAGGTAGGGGCAGGCACACCCACTGGGGTCCTCTGGCACTTTCTTGGCCGTATCCAGTGCTGCAGTCACCTTGTAGCCCCACTGCTCAACTGCTCTAAGAGGTGGCCCAGCCAAGCTGGTGCTGAGATTGAGGGGCCACCCCGATAGTCTCCCCAGAAGCCAGGACTGTCATGCCTGCCTCCCACAGAGAGGCACCCACAGCCCAGCTGTACCTCTGCTGCCCGCACCTCCATTCCTGTGCTAGGCACAGCTCTGCCTCACAACACCCCAGCTGGGTGCTGCCTCTCTCCCACCCAACCCTGCTGCTTCCTCTAGAAAGCCGGATCCAAGCGGCAGGGCGAGGGTGTGGTTCACAGTCCACAGCCTGCCAACCAGGGGCCCTGTCAGGAGGGCACTGCCCCACCCTCTGTCCAGCTCAGATCCTCTCTGCCTCCCTGCCCGGAGCCCCTCCACCACGTGACCAACTGGCAAACCATCTCCCAGGGCCCAGGGTCTGCTCCGCAAAGGCTGAACTCACGGAGTGGAGTATCTCCCGCAATGCACTCCCCTACGTGGCATCAGATGACCCCAGGAACACTTCCATTCCAGAAAGTTCTTGCCAGCAAATACACAGCCCCACTTCCCGGAACATCCGTGCTAACCCTGGGAATGGCGGGGAGCTGTGTCTTCTCAATTAAATCAAAGTGAAAACATGGCCACAGGGGCCAGCGCCACGGCTCACTTGGTCAATCCTCCGCCTGCAGCGCCAGCATCCCACATGGGCGCCAGGTTCTAGTCCTGGTTGCTCCTCTTCCAGTCCAGCTCTCTGCTGTGGCCCGGGAGGGCAGTGGAGGATGACCCAAGTCCTTGGGCCCTGCACCCGCGTGGGAGACCTGGAAGAGGCACCTGGCTCCTGCCTTCAGATTGGTGCAGTGCCGGCCGTAGTGGCCATTTGAGGGGTGAACCAATGGAAGGAAGACCTTTCTCTCTGTCTCTCTCTCTCTGTGTTAACTCTACCTGTCAAATAAATAAATAAATAAGGGGAGGGGAGGGGAGGGGAGGAAAAGATGACCACAAAGATGCAAGATTTGAGATTAAAAACCACCCCATGAGGCTAGCGCAGGTGGTGGGGGTATCCTGACTCGGAGGGTCCACGCTGCACCTCAGCTCAGTCCCGGAAGACACCTGCCGCCTGCTCCTCCACAGTCGCCAGGAAGAGCACTGAGGGAGGTGCAGAGCGCCAGGCTCCCCCGGGGAAGACAGGGGCTGGAAGCAGCAGTAGGCCCTGCACTTCCAGACCCAGGCCAGAAGGTGGCTCCACCACAGGGAGGCAGGGAGGGAATGCTGGGTCCAAACAAGAGAGCCCTAGCCAGTTCCTGGTGACAGCCACAAAACCCTTCCCAAACTGTGTGTCATTCCCTAGGAAGGGGACACAGCCCAGGCTGAGGTGAGGACAGGAAAGGGATGGAGTTCAGGAGGAGGCCGACCTCAGCAGTCAAGGCCAACGGCTGGTCGCCCAAGAAAGCAGGAACTGACACACAGGCCATTCTCTAACGACCGTTTCTCTCAGAGATGGACGGGTATCGACACACTACTAAACTGCCCCATGAGACAGCCCTGGGTCAGCAGTGGGCAACCCCTCTTGCTTGACAGAGAACCTTCCCCCACAGAGAGGGCCCGTGGGCAGCAGGCTAGACAGCTTTATCGCGCGACTGTAGGCCTCAACCACCCCAGGGCACAAGTGTTCTGAGAGGGTGTGCTAACTGGGCTAAGAACCCCTACACCTGCAACTGTCCCATTCCTATGAACCTGACCCAAGAGACCAGACCAGCTGCCAGCTCAACAGAACCCTGTCTCCGGCTGTCTCTGTCTGGGGATCCTCTCAGCCCACACCCACGGCCCCAAGGGCCACTGCTCCACTTGCCGTGACTACGCAGAAACAGCCGAGCATGTCAACATCCCAAATCCAGGAAAACGTCTTCGCTCTCCTTAAACAGCGAAGGGCACGGCCCACCGGTGAGGGAAAGCAGCTGCCCTCCAGAGCTCCTGCCAGCCAGAGCTGGGAGCAGACCCGGGAACACACCCTGCCAACAAGCAAGTCCTGCTGTTTTGGAAGCACAGCTGGGCGCTGCGAGCGGCCAGGGTGTTGACACCTAGGGAAACAAGTCGCTGCCTGTACCGTCCTGAACAAATAACGGCCTGTTTTCATACAAAACGCATGGAAATGGGGTCAGTGTCATCACTCAGCGGGTCAAGTGCAGCCGACACCATCAGCATCTCACAGGAGCGCCAGTTGAGTCCCAGCTCCTTCATTTCCAACCCATCTCCCTGCTAATGCACCTGGGAAGGTGGCGGAAGACGGCCTGAGTGCTTGGGCCCCTGCACCCATGTGGGACACCTGAAGAGTTCCAGGCTCCTGGCTTCAGCCTGGCTCAGTCGTGGCTGTTGAGGTCATTTGGGGAGTGAACCAGAGGATGAAAGACAACCCCCCCAGCCTCTGTCTCTCCCTCTCTCTCTAACTCTGCCTTTCAAACAGATATTTTTAAGCATGCACAGAGTTACGGTACCGTCGAACGTTTCCTCATACACCCAGCACGCGTGGGGAGTGGGCCGCGCTGCCAGGCTGCCGGGACGTGCACCTGGTCAGTCTCCCTCCAGGCTCCCCCTCTCACTCGCCACTGTGTGTCTGCACAGGTCCCACAGGCTCCTCACTGCTCTACAGGTGCACCGGCAAATACCTTGCCCCCCCGCCCTCTTCCCATCTTCCGGAGCGGTTATGTCACAATCTTTGGTTATATAAACACTCCATTTGGTTGTTATGACTGTGAAGTGTTGCCCACTACTGGGCCCAGCCCTAGTCCCTCTTATTCCACTTCTTACTGCTCCTGGAAATGGCCTTTGCCTCAAGTGTCTTGTGCTTGACTTCCAGGCACCCGTCACACTTCCAGGGTGCTGAGCAAGGGCTCAGCCAGCTCTAGGGTCCCCAGGTTGGTCTTATCAGTTTGAGGTAGTCCTATTTGTTTTGTTTTGGTTTATTTGGCGGGGGGGTTAAGATTTATTTATTTGAAAGTCAGAATTACACAGAGATAGAAGGAGACACAGAGAAAGAGCAAAATTAACAAAGGCAAAATTAAAACAAATGGGGGGCGGCGTTGTGGTGCCGTGGGTAAAGCTGCCACCTGCAGTGCCGGTGTCCCATATGTGCACTGGTTCGAGTCCCGGCTGCTCCACTTCCCATCCAGCTCTCTGCTATGGCCTGGGAGAGCAGTAGAAGATGGCCCAAGTCCTTGGGCCCCTTCACCCATGTGAGAGACCCAGAAGAAGCCCCTGGCTCCTGGCTTTGGATCGGCACAGCTCTGGCCGTTGCGGCCAACTAGGGAGTGAACCAGTGGATAGAAGATCTCTTTCTCTCTCTCTGCCTCAGCCTCTCTATAACTCTTTCAAATAAATAAATATTTAAAAATAATTTTTAAAAAGTTATTCACTTATTTGAAAGGCAGAGTTACAGAGAGACAGAGAAGAGAGAAATCTTCCATCTGCTGGTTCACTCCCCAAATAGTAGCAACGGTCAGAGCCCGGCCGATCTGAAGCCAGGAGCCAGGAGTTTCTTCCGAGTCTCCCACGTGGGTGCAGGGCCTCAAACACTTGGGCCGTCTTCTGGTGCTCTCCCAGGAGCATTAGCAGGGGGCTGGGTCAGAAGGGGAGCAGCCAGCACTTGAACGGGCACCCATACGGGATGCCGCACTGCAGATGGCAGCTTAACCCACGGCACCACAGCGCTGGTTCCCCAGGTCTTTGATCCATCTTGAATTGATTTTGGTATACGGTGAGAGGTAAGGATCTAATTGCACTCCTCTACGTATATACATCCAGTTTTGCCAGCATCATTTGTTGAAGAGATTATCCTTACTTCACAGCATGGTCTGGGCACTTTTGTCAGAAGCGAGTTGACTGCATGTGAGTGGACTACTTTCTGGGCTGTCCGTTCTGTCCCACTGACCGATGTAGCGGTTTTTATGCCAGTACCAAGCTGTCTCAGTTACTCCAGCTTTGTCGCATGCTTGGAGTCAGAACTGTGAGGGCTCTAGCTTGATTTTTCCTGCTCAAGACAGCTTTAGCTTTGCGGGGTCTTTTGTGATTCCATATGAATTTTAGGATATTTTTTCTACTCCATAAACAATATCATTGGTATTTTGGTAGGGATTGCAAAGAATCTGTAGACTGTTCTAGACAGATTTCTGCTTTGTGAGTTCACCATTAGCATCTAAAAAAGCTAACGAATTTCACGTTTATTTTGTAACCTACAACTTTACTGACGGGGCTTGTCAATTCCAACAGCTTTTTGGCAGCATGTTTGGGTTTTTCCATGTGGAGCATCATGGCACCTGCAAACGTGCATAATCTGACTTCCTCTTTCCGATTTCCTCCTCCCAACTACTCCTGCTAAAATCCCCAGTAACGCACTGCGCAGGAGTGGTGAAAGTGGGCATCCGTGTCTTGTTCCAGATCTGAGGAGAACGCCTGCAGTCTTGTCTCATGCAGCATGACACTGGTTGCTGGTGTGTCATATACAGCCTGTAGAATTCTGAGGAATGTTCCTTCTTTACCTAATTTGAAGAGCTTTTATCATGAAGAGGGGCTTTCTCCGCACCTACTGAGACAACCAGGTAGCTCTGACCCGTCATTCTATTGCATTTATCGTGATGTATGCTCTTTTGACGTGGTTGCAGATGAAATTTGCTAGTATTTTGTTGAGAATCTTCGCATCTTGCTCACTACGGACACATCAAAGGTATCTGGGCTCAACTCGCAGACCCGGCTCCCAAGTCCAGGTCTCTGCCAATGCAGACTCTGGGAGGCAGCAGGGACGGCTCAAGCTCTTGGGTCCCTGCCTCTCCGTGGCAGACCCAGATCAAAATCCTGGTTCCCAGCTTCAGCCCATCCTGGTCCTAGCCATTGAAGGCATCGGGGGAGTGAACCGGCAGATGGGAGCTTGCTCTGTCTCCCACATACATTAAAAAAGGAAGAAAAAAAATCTACAAACAAACGTATAAATCTTGATCAGGACTGATAGGCACACTAAACTGTTAGGGAGAAGTACACAAGAGCACACTGAATAGAAATGCATCCCGTTAAAACAAAGGATGTGGCAGGCAGAGGACGGTCATGTGAGGGGAGATACAGCCACGTGCTTCCTGTAGAACAGGGGTAGTAAATACACGTAGACACTTCAAAAAGTTCATGGAAAATCTAAAAAGTAAGCTTATTTTGATGCAAACTTTTTTTTTTTTTTTGACAGGCAGACTGGACAGTGAGAGAGAGAGACAGAGAGAAAGGTCTTCCTTTTTGCCGTTGGTTCACCCTCCAATGGCTGCCGCGGCTGGCGCACTGCGGCCGGTGCACCGTGCCAATTGATGGCAGGAGCCAGGTACCTATCCTGGTCTCCCACGGGGTGCAGGGCCCAAGCACTTGGGCCATCCTCCACTGCACTCCCGGGCCACAGCAGAGAGCTGGCCTGGAAGAGGGACACCCGGGACAGAATCCGGCGCCCTGACCGGGACTAGAACCCGGTGTGCCGGCGCCGCAAGGCGGAGGATTAGCCTAGTGAGCCGCGGCGCCGGCGTGCAAACTTTTTTTTAAGATTTATTTTATTTATTTGAAAGACAGAGTTACAGTGAGAGGTAGAGACAGAAAGAGAGGTCTTCTATCCGCTGGTTCACTCCCCAGATGGCCACAATGGCCAGAGCCACACCGAACCAAAGCCAGGGGTTAGGAGCTTCTTCCGGGTCGCCCACACGGGTGCAAGGGCCCAAGGACTTGGGCCATCTTCTACTTCTTTCCTAGGCCACAGCAGAGAGCTGGATAGGAAGTGGAGCAGCCAGGTCTTGAACCAGCGCCCACATGGGACGCCGATGCTTCAGGCCAAGGCGTTAACCCACTGCGCCACAGCGCCAGCCCCCACCCCCTATTTTTCAACATTTATTTATTTGAGAGGCAGAGGTCCCACCCACTGGTTGAGCTCCTAGATGCCTACAATGGCCAGGAATGGGCTTGGGACAGAGCTAGGAAGTGAGAAAATAACCGCGTTCTCCCACAGGAGTGAGAACCCGAGTCCTTCAGCCATCACTGCTGCTTCCCGAGGCCAGCCCGGCACCAGCCAGCACTCCAGTGCCGGCTGCAGGCGTCGTCACCACTGCTGCTCCAGGAGCTTTCTGGAGATCCCTCCTGCGCCCAATTTCAAAATTTCTGCGCCAAAATAAACGTACCTCTTTAAAAAACATATTGATTTCAGACGTTAGAGTTAAAGAGAGAGGGAGAGAGGGCAAGACAGATCTTCCATCCACTAGTTCACTCCCCAAATGGCCGCAACGGCTGGAGAGAGAGAGAGAGAGAGAGAGAGAGAGAGAGAGAGACAGATCTTCCATCCACTAGTTCACTCCCCAAAACAGCTGCAACAGTCAGGAGAGGCAGAGAGAGAGAGAGAGAGAGAGAGAGAGAGAGAGAGGTCTTCCATCCACTGGTTCATTCCCCAAATGGCCGCAACGGCTGGAGAGAGAGAGAGAGAGAGAGAGAGAGAGAGAGAGAGAGAGACAGGTCTTCCATCCACTGGTTCATTCCCCAAATGGCCGCAACGGCTGGAGAGAGAGAGAGAGAGAGAGAGAGAGAGAGAGAGAGAGAGACAGGTCTTCCATCCACTGGTTCATTCCCCAAATGGCCGCAACGGCTGGAGCTGCACCGATGCGAAGCCAGGAGCCAGGAGCTTCTTCCAGGTCTCCCACGTGGGTGCAGGGGCCCAAGGACTTGGGCCATCTTCTACTGCTTTCCCAGGCCACAGCAGAGAGCTGGATCGAAGTGGAGCAGCCAGGACTCGAACCTGCGCCCATATGGGATGCCAGCACTGCAGGCGGTGACTTTACCTATTAAGCCACAGTGCCGGTCCCATAATTTTTTCAATATTTATGCTTGACATTTTTTATCATAAAACCTTCAGGTAAAGGGACTTTCTAACATATGGGTAAGTAGTTTAGCCATTTCTGGAAGACAGGCTGTGTGAGAACCAATAAGCAAGAAAGGATGTAATCTTAAGACCCGAAATGTTCTAGGGGCTTTAAAGATGGAAAGGTATTGAACTTGGAGGGGCGGAGGATGGGAAGAGAGCCGGTGCACAGCAGGACAACTGACCTCCGTTCCTGATGGCTGTGATCCCGTGGTAGAAGTCTGCGAAACTCATCACACCAAGCCCACTGGGATCCAGGTACTGAGTTAAGTCCTTCACCTGCAATCAGCAAATGAAAATATGTTACCCAGAGCATTTACGAAATCGAGGTGGGGTGTAGAGTGCACCTGACCTCTATGCCACACACAGAGGGCAGCCCGCGAGCGGCGGTGCTGAGAACAAGGCCGACGCAGCCACTGCTCAGGGGTACATCTGCAGTGAGTGAGTGTTAGAATACAACTACACTTCATCACAGCGCTCAGAAAATAATAAAGAGATAAAAAGGATTCAAGAGAAAGTGACAATACTGACACGAGGCAAACGTGATTGAACACATAGACATTCAAGCCGCTGAGCGAAAGATCAAAGCAAAAGCACAGGGCAGATCCAAAATAATATCTGGGCAAAGTTCCCAAAGCAAACGCAGTTCCGGCCACATGGGGAAAAAATACACAAGTACTTAAGCACACCAACTTCCGCCCCACAAGACCCACTCCTCAAAGACTCAGATCTCCAAAACTCATTCAGCCAAATTCCTTAAACTTTAAAGAAAAACCTTTTATTCTTTATAAAGCTATCTAAGAGTCAAGGGACGAAAACAAGAAAGAACGGTAACAGAGGAGGTGGTAGGCTGCAAATACAAAGCACACAAAACGGAAATGCTAACTGCCTGATATGAGCGCTCACGCTGTGTACATGTGATGGAGTACGGCAGGGTACCCCATGAGAAAGCACCACTGATGCTTAGGAAATTAAATTACCTCTTAACTTTTTGGCACCAATGACAACACTATTCTTTTTTTTTTTTTTTTTTTTTTTTTTTAAGATTTCTTTTAGGAGCCAGCATTGTGGCATAGTGGGTTAAGCCACCGCCTACATCCCATATGGGCACCAGTTTGAGTCCCGGCTGCTCCACTTCTGATCTGGCTCCCTGCTATAGCTTGGGAAAGCAGTAGAAGGTGGCCCAAGTCCTTGAGCCCCTGCACCCACATGGGAGACCTGGGAGAAGCTCCTGGCTCCTGGCTTCGGATCAGAATACTTACTGGAAAGTTTAGATATACACCTAAATGTAGCTGACTGGCACAAAGCTGCTGAAGGGTGGTACTGGAAAGTCATATGCCAGTCTCTCTCCTGTTACACGGGTTTGATCCCCTCTATAACAAAAATAATCCTTTATTAAAGATGTATTTATTTATTTGAAAGTCAGAATTACATAGAAAGAGAGAGGGAGAGACAGAGAGAGATCTTCCATCTGCTGATTCACTACCCAAGTGTCCACAACAGCCAGGGCTGGGCCAGGCAGAGCCAGGAGCCAGGAGCTCAAGCACTTGGCCACCTCCCGCTCCTTTCCCAGGCACATCAGCAGGGAGCCGGATCAGAAGGAGCAGCGGGACTTACACTGGAACCCATAGGGACGCGGGCACTGCAGACAGTGGCTTAGCCCTAAGTGACAAAACACAGCACAGGCCCCTGGACGATGGAATTTTAGAGTAGGAGGAGGCACTGGGGTGCAGTGGGTCAAGCCAACAACTGGGACACTCGCATCCCATGTAAGGGCAACCGGGACTGAGTCCCACCTCCACTTCCTGCTAGCATGCTTGGGAGCATCAGGTGGCGGCCCAAGTACTTAGGTTCCTGCCACCTACATGGGAGATTCTGATGGAGTTCCTGGCTCCTGGTTTTGGCCTGGCACAGCACCGTCAGTCTCAGGTATGTGGAGAGTGAACCAGTTGCTAGACTGTCACTCTGGCATTCAAATACATAAATAAATAAAACTTTTAAAAATGAGTGAGGGGGGTGTGGCACTGTGGTGTAGTTGGTAAAGCTACCGCCTGCAGTGCCGGCATCCCATGTGGGTGCTGATTCGAGTTCCGCCTGCTCCACTTCTAGTCCAGCTCTCTGGCCTGGGAAAGCAGTGGAGGATGGTCCAAGTCCTTGGGCCCCTGCACCTGTGTGGGAGACTGGGAAGAAGCTCTGGGCTCCTGCAGCTCCGGTCACTGTGGCCATTTGGGGAGTGAACCAGCAGATGGAAGACCCCCCCGCCTGCCGCCTCTCTGTAACTCTTTCAAATAAATCCTTAAAAAGAGAGGAAGAAAGACAAAAACAGAAAAACAGCACGGAAGAGAAAAACAAAGAGGGTAGGACAGTGCATTTGGCCGGTGACAGACGATTTTTTACCACAAAATGAAGAAAAGATCATTAAAGAGGCCTAGTAAGGTAGAGTGGGCTGGGTGAGCACATTAAAAGGTGTAGAAACGGCCGGCGCCGCAGCTCACTAGGCTAATCCTCCACCTGCGGCGCTGGCACCCCAGATTCTGTCCCGGTTGCTCCTCTTCCAGTCCAGCTCTGTGCTGTGGCCTGGGAGGGCAGTGGAGGATGGCCCAAGTGCTTGGGCCCTGCACCCGCATGGGAGACCAGGAGGAAGCACCTGGCTCCTGGCTTTAGATCGGCGGGTGAACCAATGGAAGGAAGACCTTTCTCTCTTTCTCTCTCTCTTACTAACTCTGCCTGTCAAAAAAAAAAAAAAAAAAATTAAATTAGGCCAGCGCCGTGACTCACTAGGCTAATCCTCCGCCTTGCGGCGCCGGCACACCGGGTTCTAGTCCTGGTCGGGGCGCCGGATTCTGTCCCGGGTGTCCCTCTTCCAGTCCAGCTCTCTGCTGTGGCCCGGGAGTGCAGTGGAGGATGGCCCAGGTGCTTGGGCCCTGCACTCCACGGGAGACCAGGATAAGTACCTGGCTCCTGCCTTCGGATCAGCGCGGTGCGCCGGCCGTGGCGGCCATTGGAGGGTGAACCAATGGCAAAGGGAAGACCTTTCTCTCTGTCTCTCTCTCTCACTGTCCAGTCTGCCTGTCAAAAAAAAAAAAATTTTTTTTAATTAAATTAAATTAAAAAAAAAAAAGGAAAAGGTGCAGAATCATCAGGGATAATTCACAGCGGCCACAGGTACTCCTCTTGGGCTACCCCACACTGGGCGGGCTGACAGCTGCTGGCATAGCAGTGAGACACAGAGAAAGCCTCGGGGAGGCCCTGTCCAGGACAGAAGGCAGATAAACCAGATCCGATCCCTAGCCTGGTGGAATAAGCAGGGCGTTGGCGGAGGGCAGGGCCAGGCCTGGGACGCCAAGGAGATGACGTCACACGTGGTACTGCTCACAGCATCAGCTCCCTGTTCCTCCTGACAGCAGTGCCTTTACAGCTGTATCTGGAGGCCTCGAATCAGGCAAACTAACAACAGGAAGGTTAGGTCCTGAGGCCTGCACTGAAGCCAAAGAGAGGGGTTTCAGAGGTGCAACTGCAGAAGGTGGCGAGACACACAGCCCAGACGAGAACAAGAATCTAGGCTGCTGCTCCAGGGTGGGGCAGGATCGCGGGAAGCTGGGCATTGAGAGTGTCTCGGAGCTGAGTGCTGTGGCTCTGCTTGGGACACCCAAGTCCCACATCACAGTGCCAGATCGAGTCGTGGCCACCCTACTTCCAGCCCAGCTCCCGGCAGGCAGCAGGTCACGGGGCCCTGTTCCCCACGTGGGAGACCTGGACGGAGCTCCTGCCTTCTGGCTTCGACCAGGCCCAGCCCTGACCGTTGCAGACATCTAGGAGTGAACCAGTGGATGACAGATGGAGCTCTCTCTCTCTCTCTCTTTTCCCCCCAACTCTGCCTTGCAAATAAATAAAGCTCAATAAAATAAAGAGAAAGTCTTGCACCCCAGCTTGAGGGCCGACATCAACGAGATTTCCTCCTGGTCTTCGGGAGGCAGGGGAGTCACGTAAGGGAAAGGAGTGACCACTGAAATCCAGGGAACCCAGTCCCACTGGGCAGAGCAGGAAGAAAGCTAGAACCCAGCAGCGAGACGCAGCTGTCCTCAAGTTCCGGTGAGAAAGGCCCAGGGAGCTGTTGGCAAAGCTCGGGCACCACTGAGAAGTGACGTGGAGAATGAGGGGCGTCGGAGAAAGGAGACCCCGGGGGCCAGGCCCCAGCACTCAGCCCCACCAGCGCAAGGTTCTCTGACCCCTCACAGCATCGAGGGGGCCACCTGTACCCAGACCCACGCTCCGAGTGTCGCTGGGCAGGGACACCCGTGTGTGAGCTGATTCACAGAAACAAGTGAGTCAGCATTCGCATCTCACAGAAATCTGTCCATCAAGAGCCCTCCTGGACACCATGGTCCATACTGACCAACCTCTAGGATTCCTGGGAACACCGAAACCAAAGCTACTTGAAGAACAAAATGTACCAAGTTGGTCACTTGTTTATTAACCAAAGGCTTCTTAAAAAACCATTCACCAGGAGCAGGTCCTTTCATGCTACCCTGTTAGAATGATCAAGGGGGAAACAAAGGGCTTGTTCTTTCAAAAATAGCTCTGAAGATTCACTTATTTATTTGAAAGGCAGAGTTACAGAGAGAGAAACAGACAGAGAGATCTTCCATCCACTGGTTCACTCCCCAAACAGCCATAACAGCCAAGGCCGGGCCAGGTCAAAGCCAGGAGCCAGGAGCTTCCTCCAGGCCTCCCACGTGGGTGCAGGAGCCTAAGCACTTGGGCACCTTCTGCTGCTTTCCCAGGCCGTAGCAGGAAGCTGGAATGGAAGTGGAGCAGCTAAGAAATGGACTGGTGCCCATATGGGATGCCAGCACTGCTGATGGTGGCTTCACCCACTATGCCACAGCACCAGCTCCCCACCAAAATTTTTTTTTTAATTTCCATTCATTTAAAAGGCAGAGAGATCTTCCATCTGCCAGTTCACTCAGCAAATGCCCACAGCAGCCTGGGCTGACCCAGGCTGAAGCCAGGAGCCTGGAACTCCACCCAGGTCCCCCACAGGGTTGGCGGGGACCCAAGTGCTTGAGCTGCCTTCTAGGGAACAATTAGCTAGAAGCCGAAATGGGAACCAGAGCTAGCCCTGGAGCCAGGCACTCAGCACTGTTGGAAACTCCCCCTTGACCTACACTTCCTTTATGCCTGAGGGACAGACCCATCTCTGGGCAGCTGATTTGGTACAGTTCTCGTCCTCTCAAAGTACTCCACGCGAGGCTCTCAGAAGAAACTGGTGATGCTGT